TCGGGATAGCCACTGACAACAGTAGCGCCCCTACCCGTGAACAAGTAGGAACAATTTCGTTGTGGTGCTGTCTACTACACCCGTATGAAGAGGTCTATAATGTAAAATGGCAATACCTCCTCCACTTCTCCAATAGCTGGATATAACCACGATAGGCTTGACTGTACATCATTGAAGTGAGAAAACAGTGGTGAAGGGAAGCATACGCGAAACCTTCTCTACGTAATTACCCCAAATAACTTTCTTTCTTGCGTAAATTAGCTTCATTATCACTCCATTTTCGCTTGCTCTAGACACGCGTGATGATCAGCACAATTCACCGTCCTTCAATCCACTTCGCGTACAGGACGAAACCGCAACTCTAGTTGAATTGTCAAGGAAGAGAGGTGATTATGCGACCAAGTATCTCCTCGGTTGCGTAGAAGTGTGATGAGTGGCACAGCTGGCTCGTGGATGTTTGCCAACAGCATTAATTACATTGCGATGGATGAAGGGAGTGTTTGAGGAAGGGTAGTGCTGGCCTGATGCTGCAAATAAGTGAGGGCAATGTCATACGCTGTTTGGTCAAATGTCGCTTTTACTGAAGGACTACTGCTGTGTCTCCGCCATTGTACTCTTGTCGGGCGCGATGGCATCTGTAGCATGCCAGCAGCTCCATAGCCTTTTGTATGCTCCGCATATTCCTATTCTGCCCCTGTATAATGTCTTCTTCCCTCTGCAGGAAATTATCAGGAAGCCTGTCCCTTTTAACTCATTTATTCATTTAGTACTCTTCAAATGTATTCAACGCAGTAACTTACTAATCATTTTGTGAAACTGACTTGTATTTTTTAAGTAAATACTGACGATGTAGTCTCCTATATTATTCCTAAACGAAACACGGTTTAGAACGTATTACCGATTCTCGGTATACGCTACTTTCTCGCACTGGCAAGGCGCTGCGCCCCTGTTTGACACTGACAAGTAACTAAATAAACCCCAAATGAAATTTGTTGTTTGGCGGCTCATTTATGCTCACACCGTCACCTGCATCGCCTCAATGCGCTAATTTACTCAAAATTTTGTCCGGACGATTCATTACATTTGCACTCAATCTACAGTTCTGTGAATTTCCTGAACACACACCAATCCTTGGAATATGTGCATCACCAAATTATTTGTTTTGAATACATTCAGTTACCCTCCCTCAGCAATGCCCATCAGTACTCTACTGGTTCAACTTCTCATTTTGGTACGCACAGGGGCATTCGATTTACTTCACAATTGTATTGAATTCAAGCTTGTAGCGTAGACCAAAGTAATTGCCTTTTCAGGACTGGATAGCATTTGTCTCATCATTCTTGCGTGTACAACTCCATCCGCCTTGGTGCTGGGTAAACCATTTGCAACTGGGTGCTATGGATAATGGGCCAAGGATATTCAATGCATTGTCCATTCCATTCACTCTACTACCTCACCATTCCCAATCCGTGTGTGCAACTGGACGCCATAGTATTTACATGCAATTATTAATTATCATTGCGTTGATTTGAATATCAAATCATATGTTTAATTATTTAATTTCTTTACACCAGTTGTTATAATTTTAGCATATTATTTGCTTTAGTACAATTTATCAACCTGGAAATGGGAGCATAAATATACACTTTGCTTGAAAACCACCGAAACTCGTTACAAAAGCTCAGATGAACGCGAGTTAGACTAATAATCGCGAGCCCTATTTTAGCATCACAAATTGAAATCAATGCTTGCATGCCCTCACCGGATACGATGGAAAGCCCCTCATGGTGGACGCAACCGCATTCGAGATCACTGGCCATATAACACACACAGTACGCCTCACACAGCAAGACTAAGCAGCCACAAGTTATGGTTGGGGGTGTGTAACGCGACGGAGGTTGCGATTTAGTACGTGAGTACCGTGTTGTGTGCCACTTCATGGTCACCCGCCCATGTGTTAAGGAATATGTTGTACTACCTTAGTAGAGGAGAATGGATGCTGAATCAAAGCCAACTCCATCCTTTTCATGACCATCCCCTAGAACAGACGGGTGAAGGCGAATTATATGAAATGCGGTTGCAAGTGAGCAAGACAAGATGCAGAAATAGGATTAAAATTGCTGAGTTAAGGGGCTCGCCACATTGAGAAATAGACGAATGAGTAGTTGAGTGTACAGATGATTTTGCTACATAGTGTATATTGATGCCGTAACCTTTAACACTACTGCCGTTTTTTTGACGCAGCGATGCATGTGAGCCATACTACTCGCTGCAGCCATAAATTTGTCGGCTTAACACACCCACCACCATTACCTGACGGGCGGAATATCCTCTGCTTATGACGGTAGACAAATACCCGTGCATTTTAAAACAGACTGTGAAAGAGTTGTCTCAAAATACTCTAACATGTTATGGAAATATAAACGTCTCTGCCTCCTTTCTCTCTTCTCCACATCATCGAATACTACACACTTTAGCTTGATGCATTTCTGAAAATGTGAAAATCGTTTATCTGGTATCAGTAAATACAATTTTAGTTATCTTTCCTTCCAATACATAAAATGTTTAATTCCGTCTTTGATGGCAGCTTATATTATGCTTGCGTTTAGCAGGGTGGTCTGTTGTCACACAATGGATGCATTATTCTCTCCCACATGCTTGTTTACTTCATCAGTCACCTCCGCAAATTTGCAATTTTAAGGTGTTCGTTTGACCCGGTATAACTTCATTTATCGTGAAATGGCATCAAGTTTTAACATTGTGAAGAGAAATTACTGATTTTACTTTACTGCCTAGAGCAATTTCCAAGTATTTTGAACCCAATTCAATGCAATCGAGGAAGTGTGAACTAGGGAAGAAGCACTGCCAGGAACTTGTGACACATTTGTGGATCATCATGCAGTGCATTTCAATTTCTTACTTTTGTGTGGAATTGTAAAATGCACTTAGTCTACATTATTTTCATCAGTGACGCATCAGAATAAAGTTCCACCACTATCAATTATACGTCAGTGTAGATACTGTGATAGTGTCCTCAGATTTTAAATGCAATCAATGCAAGTTGCGTGCTTCAGATGTTTGTCAATAAATATAGTAGAATTTAAGGTACTTGTGCTGCCAAGGTGTTTAATTTTGCACATTCCGCAGATTCCCTATCACCGTATTACACACGTTAACATGGTGTAATGCATTGGTCATTTAATTCACGGTTTTGACAAAGTGACACCTTGTGTCTCCGCTATTGCATCGTCTCCGGGTGAGCTGTCCTTTAAGCCATGTCAGTTGCCCAAGCCGCACTGTACATCAAATGTCTTTGTGTGTATACATATTCTGTCCCTTTATTGCATCTTCTTTTCTCTTCAGGGAAGTCTTGCAGCCCTACATTGGCGGCAGGGGAAAGTAGACCCTACCTTAAAGGACATCAATCTCGATTTCTTCTGCTGGGTGCTAAACATCAGCGGAGTAGACGAAATGTATATGCTTCGGGTAAGAGAATTGTTGATGACTCCAAACAGAAAAGCAGATTGATCACAGCTAATGTAGATCCCATTGTGTTATACATTGAACGAGACTCCACGACTGACATTTGAAGCCGATCCAGCAGAGTAATTGAGTGTCATGAAGGGTAACAGCTAGACCACCAGAGAATAGCTGCTTTGTCTCGCATGTCATTACTTATCTACAAACCCCCATCTTTCTACCTCTCCCTCCGAATCCACTTCCTCTTAATTTATCGCTCCTCTCAGTCAGCTCTCTGACTCTGCTTCACTGCCCGTGCACCACTTCTGTCCATCTGTCCGCCCTTCTGCCTATCTCCGCCTATCTGTCCCTCCACCTTAAAGTATTATTGTGACCGCTCCCTCAAATACACGCACACAGAGTCACAGGCGCACCCACGTACACACCACTCCAAATCAAATTGTTTGTAATCAGATAGACTTTCTCTTCAGCAAAACTGAAATTCTAACCAAATAACATTCTAATCTATAAATCAAAAGATCACTAACACCGAAAAACACTAGACCAATAAGACCATAATTTTTACAGCCGTCACAATTTAACACATTAAAACTAAGCTTTACGTATTTGTAGTTGAAGAT